TGGTTTGCAGGTGGGTTGGTGAGATCTACTCTGGCTGCGATGGAAGCTTCCGTCCCGGTCCGTAGGGCTGAGAAATCGGATGCGGCGCTCCCTGCTGCCGCTGTTGCTCCGCTTCCCTTTCCCCCCCCCCGCCCGCCGCGGCCGGGGTGCACCGGATGCCGCTGCTGCGCGTCGGCGGCCGCAGGGCTATCCAGGCTGGCCACCGACTGCGCGAAACTCGGGAAAGCGGGGGGGCAGGCGCTCAGGCCTCCGCGGAGGTGTAGAGTTCACGTGGGAAGAGGGTTCGCGCGCGATTCCCATATTTTTGTTTTTTCTGTTGTCACCGGTGCGTGGATTTTCGTGGATTGCGGATGTCATTGTGAGTTCGTTATCCGCGGGCTTTTCAAAGCCTGCGATCCCCTGCAGAAATCCAAGAAGCGGCGGGAGTTGTTGGACAGGTTTGATAGGGGGCTCAGGCCGAGGGCCTTGTCCATACCCGATTTGTTGTAGGACTACGTCATTGTCCAGGTTTCCATTGACATTCTCCCTCGTCCTCCTCGACTGTCTCATCCCCCTTCCTTCCGTCCTTCCTTCTCCCCCTCACCCCCCCCCCATTCGTTCTCCATCTCTGTTTTCTGCCTCTCGCAGAAAAAATCAGCGCCGCTGATCGTCAGGTTCCATCGAGCGGAAGAAGCTTGGAACGGCCTGCAACAGTCTTTCGGGCCTGCAGCCGCTATGGGGGCAGCCCCCCTGCCAACCTCCAAGCTTTCTTCGACGTTCACCGCGCGGCACGCCAGTGCCAGCCCCCCTCTCCCTTCACACGGACCGCGGACAAATTCGGACCCCTAGCCCCCCTTCCTTCTGGCCGCTGTGGGGGACGCTCCAAAGCGGCGCCTATAATTTGTCATGGTCGCCGGGGCGCGCGTGCCAAAGCGTGATAAAAGCCGGCGCCCCCCTCCTTCGTCACGTGGGTGCAGACGGGCCCAATAACGGCCCGATCACCGCCTCCCGTCCGTTTTTCTAGACGGGGCCCCTCTGACCGCGTCAGGGGCAGGTTAACCCACCACCCTTGTTACATATGCGTCGGCCCGAGGTGTTGCGATTTCTGTGTCCCTCCCCCCCTATCCCCCACCCAGCGGAGGGCCAGTTTAAACATTTGTGGCCCTCCTTTCTCTTCCTCCCCCTCCTGCTCATCAGCCGCCTCCTCATTATCATCAGCATCATCACCATCATCCTCATCATCACTATGATTATCATCACTATTATTGTCACCTTCGTCATCATTATGATCATTCTATTAGCATCACCATCATAGTCGTCGTCATCATCCACATTGTCATCGTCATCATAGTTCTCATCCTCCTCCTTTTGCCCCACTCCGGGACACCGCTTCTAAGTTTCTGACGTGAAGGGGGGCGATCGACAGGGCATGCACTAGCGATCAACCCACAGTCCGAGGCTACGAATTGGGATGCCCCGAGGCAGACGATGAACCCGACTGACAGCTCATACTTCAACCCCGAAGAACTTTAATGTGGCGGTCCGCTCATAGCCCTGGCATATTAGTGATCCCCCCTCCCTCCTTTTCCTCCCCCTCCATCTTCGGGAGGGCCGCCAATGCCTCACCTGGCCGTCCTCCGCAGCATGCTAGCACAAGCGAGCACTTCGGCTCATCCCTGCTGTGCTGACGGAGCACGCTGCTTTCGGTAAGAGTTGGGGTCTTTCTTTTGGGGGTCCGCGCTTCCTGGGACGCGCCGCATTCGGCAAGGTCTGGGGCCCCGGAGGGGCATCAAACCCCTTATAAGTAAACGCCTTTGTGTGTGTGTGTGTTTGTGTTAGTCGGTGTGTGTGTGTGTGTTCTCCGCCCTGTCGCTGCGCGCAGGGCCGCGACGCCAAACCAGTGTGTGAGTGTGTGCGTGTGCGTGTGCGTGCGCGTAAGAGAGAGAGGGAGAGAGAGAGCGTGTGTGTGTGTGTGTTTGAGAGAGAGAGAGAGAGAGAGAGAGAGCGAGAGAGCGTGTGTGTATATGTGTGTGTGTGTTTGTGTTTGTGTTCGTGTTTGTGTGTGTTTGTGTGTGGGGGTGTGTGAGTCAGAGAGAGAGAGAGAGCGCGTGTGTGTGTGTGTTCGTGTGCCCCATTGCCGCGGCCCCGAGCGCCGCCGACGTCGAGAGGTGGTTCCTTGTCACCCTCGGTGGAAGGGGGGGTGGTCGGTGGCTGCCGCTCTTCCTGGCTTCCAGGAGCGCAGCACCCCCCCAAGACCTCCAAGCACCTCCCCAAAACTCGGGATCCCACAAAAATGGGGTGTGCCCCAGGGTGTGTGTGTGTGTGTGTGTATGTGTGTGTGTGGGTGTGAGTTCGATCGGCTTTTGCACCGAACCGCCCAAAACAGATGCCCCCCAGCCGCCGGCAGCTCTCGATAGTTGCCGATAGATGGGGCATGCGGGGGGCATCTGTTTGCGGCAGTTCGGTGTACCAACGGATCGAATTCATGCCCCTTTTCAGGGTCACCCCCCTTTTCTGGCGGAACCCGACAAACTGCACCAGGTTCCTTCCCGTCCCAATATCCCCCAAGACCTCCGCCGGACATCCCCCGTCCTCCACTCCTTACATCCTCAAGGGGCTGGGCTGCCTGACTGCATTGGCGCCACCGCTGCCCGTGCGTCCAGGATCCATAGTGATCATCCTCCAGGTTCGTGCACCATGTATCCACGAATCTGATACCGCATAGACCACCCTTCGGGTGATAAGGAGGTGAGGGGGGGGGAGGGACCACCGTCGCACTCGATTGATACCACTATCGATCTCATTATCGATCTCATTATCGATCACACAGTCGATATGGCTATCGATCTCACAATCGATCTCACTATCGATCTCACATTCGGTCTCACTATCGATCTCACTATCGACACCACAACCGATCCCACAATCGATCGCACATTCGGTCTCACTATCGATCTCACTATCGATATCACTATCGATCACATTCGATCGATCTCACTATCGATTCCACTATCGATCTCACAATCGATCTCACATTCGGTCTCAGTATCGATCTTACTATCGATATCACAATCGATCTCACAATCGATATGACAATCGATATCACTATAGAACTCACTATCCAAGTCATTATCGATCTCTCGTTCGGTCTCACTATTGATATCACAATCAATCTCACAATCGATCTCACATTCGGTCTCACTATCGATCTCACTATCGAACTCATTACCGATCTCATTATCGATCTCACAATCGGTCTAACTATCGATATCACTATCGATATCACAATCGATAGTGAGATCATCATCGTTATCACCTCTCACCATCATCATCTCCATCATCATCGGGACACCATCATCATCATCATCATCATCATCATCATCATCATCATCATCATCATCATCATCATCATCATCATCATCATCATCATCATCATCGGGACACCGACGGGACACCGGCGGGACACCGCGGGCCCCCGGTTGCCCGGCAGGGAGACATTTGGTCCGGCCGCGCCTCAGCCACATGTGCACCAGCGGGACACCGGCGGGACACCGCGGGCCCCCGGCCGCCCGGAAGGGAGACATTTGGTCCGGCCGCGCCTCAGCCACACGGGACACCAGCGGGACACCGGCGGGACACCGCGGGCCCCCGGCCGCCCGGAAAGGAGACATTTGGTCCGGCCGCGCCTCAGCCACAGGAGATTTTCTTTCGCCCGCCCACACAGCTTCGCCTCGCCCGCACGCACGGCACGCACGAACACGAAACCGAAATCGATTTCCCGGTAGGGGGGCTCTCCGTTCCACTTCGATCTCACCCCCTCACCTCCGACAATCAGGAATGCCACTGCAGGCCGTTCCAACATGGACGTGCTTCCCAGGAAGGTCCAGCCAACCAGAGACAGTCGGGGACATACTTCTATTTGAAATTGTTTGCCAAATAACTGTATATTTGGAGGGCACGCCTTAAGAGCCTGGGAATGATGGAGCTGTTGATTGGAGAGTGCCATTAGGAAGAGGGACATGGTTACGCCAGTCTCATGATCTGCAAAGGCCCCATGTCTTGAGACATCCACTTGAGCTCGCCTCAAGAGGCCTGACACGGTGGAACTGTCGGCTGATGGGTATTATCAGGATTGCGGGTTTGGTCACACCAGTGCCATGGTCTGGACACACTGCATTGCTTTGAGACACCCCCGGGAGAGTCCCAGGAGTCTGGTTTCGCAAGAGCCCACTTCTCTTGACACCTGCTCATTTCCAATTGCTCCACTCAGCATTGCCCACTCGCTTGCCCGCGGGTCAGGGAGCACCGTGTGCGCAGCAGCCCTGGCAGCTGTTTGAGAGGTATTCTCACTCAGCGTCTGAGGCGTTAAGCAGATGGGCTGCTGGTTTGAAACGTCGCGTTTCGCCCGACCCGACCAGCGTCCAGCGTTGATCATTTTAGTCGTGCCGCTGAAGAAGGAACCCGTTTTGTTGGGGAGGGGCCCAGTGTTCCTTACATGTTTTGCAGTTGTTCTTAGGTTTTCCCTAGGTTTCCCATGGGGAATCGAAGTTGAAATCATGGAAGACAAGGGGCCTCGTTCCCGATTTAGGGTTCCGTCTGACGGCGTTTCGACTGTACTCTTTCTGCTCAGATTCCTCGGCGTCGCCGAGGAATGAGGGTGCCGCGCCCTATGGCCAGGTTCTCGACCGTGTTGCCCCCCCTCAGATCCACCTACACCCATGAGAAGCCTTAAGCTCAGGCATGGCTTGCCATGGGCTCCAGACTGCCCTTCAGAGAATCAAGAGTCTGGACTGGGCCCTGGGCGTTACCTTGGAGCTTCGCCTCTCTCGTAGAATGTTGGTAGATTTGGACCTGGACTACCGTTTGAGAAAACGCTTGGAGTGAAGTTTGTTTTCTTCGCCTGGCAGTTTCGCAACTCTAAGAGTAAGGGTGGATTCCTTCTACTGTCCCGCTCTGTGGTGCTGCTCCTGCTCCCCCCCCCTCTCCCCATCGCCCCACTCCGCTCCCGCATCCTCCCTCAGGAGGCGGCACCTGCGCCAGAGGAGGACCCGATGGACGTGGACCCTCCGGCAGCGGAGCTGACGGAGGAGGAGAAGAAGGCCACGCTGCCCCTGTCCTGGCCCTTTCGGGAGAGAGATGGGGGGTGGCAAGCTTCCCTCGGGGGCGTCCGCGTGGAGGGTGAGGAAAAGGAGGGTGTGGAGATCATGGCTAGGGCCATGACATCTCCCAGAGGTCCTGGACCTGTATCACTCACGCAGGCCACAAGATGTTCTTCTGGAGGCCCAGCTGACGACGACGGTAACGACGACGACGACGACGACGACGACGACGACGACGACCCACCGACCGATGCGCTGGCCGACCGACTGATCGACCGACCGACGACGACAGTCGACCAGGTGGCCGACCGACAGAGAGGCTTCCCCCCCCCTTGTCCGTGCGCATTCCTCGGGCCATGACGCGCTAAGCGCCCCTCTTCCTGGCCCCCCATTCTGGCGCACCTTCTCCCCGCAGGTTACTCCTGCCAGGATTGGTGGGGTGGGTAGCAGGGGAGGCTGGAACGAATGAGCCGCGCAGGTTTGAAGCCAGGATGGTAGCACGAGTTATTCAGACGATGAGGTGCCCACGAAAGCTGGAAAACATGTGTCTGGGTCGTTCCAACCTCCTCGTCCTCCTCGTGGAGCTCGTCTCTTCGATCTTCGCCCCCCTCCTCCTCCCTGTTATCTTCCCCTTTCGTCTCTCCTGCCCCATCCGTCTTCAACCCAGCCTGCCAGGCGACTGCCTCGGCGTCACTGCTGGGACCCAGGCCCTCTTAGTCGAGAGGTGTGATTACTACTCTTTTGTTTTTCTCTCTCTCTCTCTCTCTCTCTTTCTCTATCTCTCTCCCCCTCTCTCCCTATCTCGCTCGATGCAGAACTGTGTGAGGTGAGGAGGCCGTCCGTGGCGCTGTACGCAAACTAGTATAGAAAGTGCCTCGGCTCTGTGCGTATCCATTGCGCTTCGCGGCGCCACGTCCGGACAGGCTGGGGTTCAGCGGAGCAGCCGAAGTTATTTGAGTTCTCGTGGACCTACGAGGAGCCTCTGGGGAGTCTCTCGGAGGCAGTGTGGGGACTTGGGAGCCGTGTGGAGGCCTCTTGGGGCCTCTTTTTGAGCCTCTTGAGGATCTCTCCGGGAATCCTGGGGACTTCTTGGGGCACGCTGGCGGTCTCGGGGGTCTTCTTTGGGCGGAGGGCTCGACATGTCAGTTCAAGTTCCCCTCTAGGGCCCTCTCTGGAGGCCGTCTTGGGGGCCCTCGGGGCAGTCTTGGAGCCTTCTGGGGTGCCTCTTGGGGGTATCCTAGGCCGACTTGAAGCGATCGTGGGAGCCTCTTGGGCCGTCTTGCGCGCTGCTCGTATGCTAAAAAAGTACAGCTTCCCAATGGATTGGGCTGATGTTTACCTCTTGGGGGCCTCTTCAGGGACTTCTCGGGGCACTGTGTGGACTCATCGGGGACCTGCTGCGCAGTCTTGAGGCCATCCCCGGCCCTCTGGGGCCGTCCCCGGGGACCTCTTCTGGGCCGCCCTCGGGGGCCCTCTTCGGCCGTCGGGGCCGACAAGTGAGCCACCCGGGCCGCCTGGCACCCCGGCTGGAAAAGCTCAGCCCGGGGGAGGTGGGGGGGAGGGGGGGGGCGGGGTGCAGCTGGGCTCCAAGCCAGGGTGGGGGGGGGGTTCCAGGGGGGGGATTGCAAAGATAGGAAGTGAATCGTACTGGAGCCGCACGAACACGCTCGTCTCTCGGATGTGCTTCGCAGTCCAGGCGTGAGTCGAGGACGCCGGCAGCGCATCACCGACCGTCATGTTGGGGGCGTCCTGACCGTGCGTGGGACGTGGAAGAAGGCCTCTTTGGGATAGTTCGTGGAATTTCTTAGTGTCTCTTGGGAGGCCTCACAGGGGCCTCTTGAAGGGGCTTTTGGAGGCCCCTCGAGGCATCTTGGGGGCCTCTTACGGGTGTCTTGGGGGCCCCTTCGGGGCATGTTGAGGGTCTCGGCGGCAATGTTTTGGGGACAGGCTCCCACAGCATCGTCGCTTTCGCCTCTTGGGCCCCTCGTCGGCCTCTCTTGGGCCCTCTTGGGGATCTGTTGGGCACTCGTGGGGTCCTCCTGGGCTGCCTTGAGGCCCTCTTGGGCCGTTTTTGGCCCTGCATGGGGCCTTGGGTCGTCGTGGGGCGATCTCGGAGCCCTCCTGGGCTATCTTGGAGTGCTGAAAGCTCGAAACGACGAGAGCGCCAAAGCTCTCGAAGAACCTGAGGGAAATCTTTGATTTTGGGCTCTCAAGGCCCCAGCGGGAGGTGCACCCGGAGCGTTGCTGGGGCGTCTTGGGGGCTCCTGAGGCCGTCTTGAGGCTATCGTGGGCCGTCTTCGGACGCTCTTGAGCAATCTCGGGCCCCCTTGGGATGTCTGGGGGCCCTCTTTGCCCGTCTTGGGGCCCTCTTGGGCCGTCTCGGAGCCGTCTCAGGCCGCCAGCGCCCTTTGCGTGAGGGAGGTCCGCGAGGGACCGCCGGTAGAAGCGGGCCCCCTCGGAGGGAGTTTCAGGGAGGTCATTGCGCCCAACACTCTGACGGAGAGGTCTCGCACGGCCCAACTCGGTAGGTTGGTTGGTGTTCTCGCCAGCTGGCTGGCAACTCGGTTCAATAGGTTTGCTAGTCGAAACAGATGGTTCGCAGTTGGTTTGGGCTGTTTGCTGGTTGGCTGACTGCGCGCGTCTGTACCAACAGAAAAAGGGTTGTCGCCGCGGGAGAGCGCTTCCAGTGTCAATCACAAGGGTTCTTGGCTTAGGGAGCGCGCACCTCCAGGTTATTGAAACTGTGCATGGCCTCGGGCCCAAAGCCGAGTTGTCAGGAAACGACAGGGCGGCAACCGAGAAGCGTGCCTCGAACCGATATCCCAATACAGAAAATGGCTGGTTTTCTGCTCTCGAGAGGGGTTGGTGCTTTTGGGCAGCCTCCGCGGGTTGGGTTCGTGGTCTCGGGAACGCGACAGCGCCGTGATTTACAAAGGATTGGCTTCGGGAGCGCGAATCCACCATAACTTACGACGGATTGCGGCTTTGGGGGCGCGATTCGGTTGTAATGTGCGAGAGGTTGTGGCCTCGGGAACGCAAGCTTCCAATAAGTTAGAACAGGTTGTGACCTCGGGGCCGCGAGTATGTAGTATTTTTCGTGTTCAAGGGCGCCTGGATAAATTCAGGCAGCGTGATCTGGTTTTCGGGCCAGTATTGTCGTGCCGACTTCAACACTAACACCATTGGAACTCGTGAGTAGAACATATATCATTGTAACAATGGGAACTGGAATTGCTGCAGGGAACAGGAACACCTTCGCCTCGCAGCTTGTTGTCCTCCCAAGGAAGGCGGTGGAATATGTCCCTCCCTCCTCGCTGAGAAGCACTATTCTTAATTTTCGGGTCTTTCCATGATAACCTCTGACAAGGCTGTATGGTTTTAATTTTCTTCGCATAGGGAAGACATTGAAGCCTTACTTGCTGTTGCCATCATGTGTCTCCTATTGCTCTTCACGCTGATGCTTTCCTCAATACGCTAATTCCACACCGCCCACCGCGTAAATCCCTCATTCGTCGAGCACTCTTCTCTTCCACCCGTTGCTCATTCTCGTATTATGTTACCCGGCGCATGCAGCTTTTGGTTTTGAAACAGGTCTCGGTGAGGAAGAGCCTGCTTCCCGACCTGACCGATCAGGCTCTCCTTGACTACCGATGTAGTCGGCGATGCAGTTCTGCATTCGTTGTTCGTCGTCCTCCCATCTGCGCCAGATGTGGATTTGAGTGTACTCCATAGCGTAGTGCTTTTGCTGGATCGTGCGTCGATGCGAGAAGGCGTACGTGTTCCTATGATGTTCGTCAGGTCAACGGTGGAGGTACCTCTTGAGACAAATGCGCGGACCGCTCGGAAACACATGAACGGGGCAAAACGTCGGGGTTCAACATATTTGTAATGTCATTTTAGTGTAGGTCGGTTGCGAAGCCGCTTTGCACTTGGCCGAATAGCGACAGCCAGAGTCTCCAGACAGTGACTTCTGTTACAATGAGTTGTCTTAGAACTAGTACTTCTAATCCTATTTGGAGGGCGGGTTTCTTTGACGTTGCACGGCAAGCCAGCTCTGTGCGACCGACTTGAACTGAACAATTGTCGTGTCTTGCTCTGTCTGCTTCACGTGCTGCGTTCATCGTTTGTAGTGACTCTCTCGCTCTCTCTCTCTCTCTCTCTCTCCATTTCTCTCTCTCTCTCTCTCTTTCGCTCTATTGATTATCTCTCTCTCTCTCTCATGTTTCTCTCGCTCTCTCTCTCTCTCTCTCTCTCTCTCCCTCTCTCCCTCTCTCTCTATGTATATATATACATATCGACATACAAGTGTATGCATGTACTCTTTCTTTCTCGATGTCCCACTCGACCTGTGCCTCTCGCCGTACGCTGTAGACGTACGACCACGTCGATTTCGTTCACAAAGTTTCATGAAATCGTTGCCGTCACGACGAGCGTGGACATTGGTTGGAACAAGTTGCTGATGTGCAGTGTCAGCGTGAACTGCGCAGGGCAGACGCGAATCATGTATTCTTTGCTGGGTAACTCGTCATCCTCTCGTGTCTTCAACATTGGATGCCACGCCATTTGAACCTCCCACGAATATCTCAATCATCAACCATATGGGCAGCCTTAGTTGGTATGAGCTCACACCTGAAGTTTAGGTTTGATCATTGTCGCATGCATGTCTAGCGTCGTCATGTCATCGGTTGGTTCACTCTTGCTATCTGCCAACGTCGTGTGCTGTTTCCAAGTGTTGGTATGCAACCGTGCAAGCACCAGCGGCACGCCATGTGCAGTCGGACTGGCTCTTCTCTCGAGGATACCGCGCGGTACCAAGGGACCGCCCATCACTCAAGCCGTCGTCCATGTCGTCCTCCCTCTCTATCCTCCCTCCTCGCGCCTGCCTTCCGCCTCATCCCCCCCCTTTCTTCCTTGCATCCCTCCCGTCTCCACCCCCCCCTCTCGCCCTTCTTCACTGGTTCGGAGGAGCGCATCCCTCTGTCGGCCGTGCTGTCCAGTGCGCCCAGTACGTGGTGCGCCTTGCTGCTTCCCGTTTGCCCCTCTGGCCCCGCGCTGCTTTCTCACTGCAGCCCTTCTTCTGGCTGCCCGAGGCGTTGAAGTCGTCGTACAGCGATTTCTCGTTGCCTTCGACAGCGGAGGCGCCCTCGGCTCGCAGAGAGGAAGCAATGAGGAGGAGGAGGAGGCGGAGGAGGAGGAGGAGGCCCAGGGACGAGCAGGAGTGAGTCCGGGAGGAGGGCTGCTCCTGCCCAAGCCAGGCCACGGCGAAGAGCAAGAGGATGGCGATGATAAAAGTGGGGGGGAGGAGGAGCAGAGTAAGGGTGCTGCCATAAGGACCACTTTAGTTTCAGGAGGGGTTCGGGTTTTCGGGCAGTTCCTTAGGCCTAGGTTGGGGAACCTATTCGTGGACGATGCCCGCCGTGGCCAGGAAAGCCCTTTCGTTTCTTATTTGGCGTTCCTTCTGGCAGTGTCAGGATTGTAGAGGGAGGGGGGGAGGATGAAGAGAGGAGTGATAGTGCTGAACTTGGTGCGCAGGTGGTCATGATGACAACGATGGTCATGATTCTGACGGTGATGCCGAGGTGTGACGACATTGGGGGTCGCTGTCCGCACGCGAGTGCGCAAATATACATGTGCAAGTGCATGTGTGCGTTCTTTGTCCCTTCCTCCTCCGGTCGGGAACTTTCGAATAGCGTGTCGCTCCGCTGGTTTAGCCCCACCACGCGTCGGTGCGACACGCTATCCATTTCCCAGTCCCCAGGCTTCCACGTCCCGAGCTGTTCGGAGCTTCCCGTCCCGCGGAACGGAGCGATACACTATCCGCAGGCAGGGCGTAGCGTGTCGGCAGGGCCGCCGTGGCGACACGCTAACCAAAAGTTCCCGACCGCGGCAGTTTGACGACAGGGCCAGGCTGGTATGTTGTGTCGCTGCTGCCCTGGCCAGACCCCGCGGAGGCCATCCTCCCGCACGGGGTCGCTGTAACACGATCCCCATCAAATTCGGCTTGGCAGTCCACTCCCATGGTCATGTACGAACTTGGCGGCGCAGAATTGCATGAGGCAAGGGGTTCCCAGGGTCGGATTGTCCGTCTTCTGTGTGCTGGACCAGAAGAGTCTGTTTTGGACTAAACGTGAAGATCGGCAGTTTCTGATGCCGCACTTGCAGTGGGCGTCGACAGAGGGACGGGCTGTCCGCCCCCACAGGGCTTCGACCAGATCAAGTACGTTTGGCAGACGGAGGAGGATTGCGCCAGAATTCTCAGAGTCCGCGCCACAGTTGGCATTGCTCGCGTTTGCGTATTTGCTCATTTCCGCATTGCCCGCAAGAAAGCAGAGTGCGCGATATAGGTTCCAGTTTCAAAGGTTGTTTGACAGGCGGAAGTTTGGCAGAACATGTGATGGTCGCGCGATCAACGGCCAGGTCAGCAGCGATCAGAAAATTGGATCGTTGATCATCTGATTGGTCAATCACGCAGCCGTTTCGTCATCGCCGCTCTCGGTATCACGACCCAAGGTGCGCCCGGCAGTGCGGGGCCCAGGATATTCGGGAATTTGGCGACCACGCCAGTGATTTTGGGCTCTTGTTCAGGAGGAGGGGGTTCGAGAGCGGATGAGGACTTGACGCGAGAGCTGCGAGGGGCCAAGTTCGAGCCGCCGACAAGGGATCGAAATCAGACCCTGCCCGAGATGTTCGAAGGTGCCGACCCCCCCGAACAGTAGCACTCGCAGCGCTGGAACTAAACACTGTTTTGCTGGACTGTTTTGTTTTTCGTTGTGGCAGGGAGGTACAGGAAGACAGGTAGAGCAACACGAACAACAAAACGAAATCAAAAAGAAAAACAACGTTTAGGTCCAGCCCTGCGCACAGTGGTGGTCGCCATGTTGGCTAGCGCGGCGACCGCGAGCCTCGGCGGCGGCCAAGGAGTGGATCCTCGCCAAGAAGATGGTGCAAAGGTCAGCCGCGGGCAAAATGGTCCCAGCTTTCCAAGAACAGCCAAAACAACGTAAACATATGTTCTTAGTACAGTCGGGGCGTTGACCCAAGGAACCCTGAATAAGGAACAGGACCACTTTTTATCCAGAAGTTGAACTCTGGCTCCCCATCGAAAACCGCAGGAAAACCTTCGGCAAGCTGTGAAACAACTAAGGAACACCGAGCCCCTCCCCAGCGAAAAGGGGTTCCTTCTTCAGCGCCCCCACTGTAGGTCCAGAAGTGTATGTTTATGGCGCTTGAGTTGTTGCTGCAGTGTCAGGGGTGATCTGACTTCTGAGGGAGTTCCGTCCGCCTTCTGCTGCAGGGTGTTTGGGGCATGATTTTCAAGAGGCCGCTCTTTTCCAAGAGGCCATGGCCTCCTTCTTACGTAGAGTTTGGCCCGTGGGCCTTCTCCTCTGCGTCCTCTTTCCCAGACCCCCGACACCGACATGCTTCCACGATGTCCTTGCCTGGAGCTCCCTGCCCCGTCCCCGGGACCGGTCTTCCGTCGTGGGTCGTGCTGTGTAAGTGCCCCGGGGTGTGAGGACGACCGCCAGAGGCCCAAACAAACGCGAAGGAATGCCCGCGAGGTCTGCGCCCCTGCCTCACGTCTGGCATCCCTCGGACGTGTGCGGGGCTCCTCCGGCGAGGACCATCGAGGAGAATGTTGGACCGTTGGCGAAACAACACGCACGAAACCGAAAAAGGTAGGGAATAAACGTCCGAGCGATGGCGAGTCCATATGTGTGCTTTAAGTCGGGCATGTCCCTCTACAGGAGAAATAATCAAGCATCGAAAAATGACATCACACATTAATCAAGCATCCCTCTACAGGTGACGATCGTTCGTGCTCGTTTGAAGTTTTGCTTTGATTATGTACTTGACTATTTCCCCACATGCTTCGTGGGGTTCTGGTTTTCTTCCTTGCCGCGCCGCACCCGCGACACTCACACCTCACCTCTCTCTCCTTCTCACACAGCGCAGCACAGCACAGCACAGCATAGCACAGCTCAACGCAGCACAGCACAGCACAGCGCAGCACAGCACAGCACAGCACAGCACAGCACAGCTCAGCTCAGCACAGCACAGCACAGCGCAGCACAGCACAGCACAGCACAGCTCAGCTCAGCACAGCACAGCACAGCGCAGCACAGCACAGCACAGCTCAGCTCAGCTCAGCTCAGCTCAGCTCGGCACCGCACAGCACATCACAGCACAGCTCAGCACAGCATAGCACACAGGGCAGGCGCGCAGGGCACGGCACGGCAGAGCGTGGCAGGGGTGGCATTCTCTCGACACCAGAGAGGGTGCGCAGGGGGTGGTCCCTCAGCGCGGTCTCTATGCGTGCCAAGGTCGGAGAGCGTGGCAGGGGTGGCACTTTCTCGACACCAGAGAGGGTGCACATCCTCGACACCACAGGTGGGCGAGCTCGGGGTGGGGTCGCTACCCGTTTCGGGCTCGCAAAGCGTGGCAGGCGTGGCACATCCTTGACACCACAGGGGGCGCGCTGGGGGTGGGGTCGCTATCCGTTTCGGGCTCGCAAAGCGTGGCAGGCGTGGCACATCCTCGACACCACAGGGGGCGCGCTGGGGTGGGGTCGCTATCCGTTTCGGGCTCGCAAAGCGTGGCAGGCGTGGCACATCCTCGACACCACAGGGGGCGCGCTCGGGGTGGGGTCGCTATCCGTTTCGGGCTCGCAAAGCGTGGCAGGCGTGGCACATCCTCGACACCACAGGGGGCGCGCTCGGGGTGGGGTCGCTATCCGTTTCGGGCTCGCAAAGCGTGGCAGGCGTGGCACATCCTCGACACCACAGGGGGCGCGGGGGGGTGGGGTCGCTATCCGTTTCGGGCTCGCAAAGCGTGGCAGGCGTGGCATCCTCGACACCGCGCTGGGGGTGGGGTCGCTATCCGGGGCTCGCAAAGCGTGGCAGGCGTGGCAGGCATCCTCGACACCACAGGGGGCGCGCTGGGGGTGGGGTCGCTATCCGTTTCGGGCTCGCAAAGCGTGGCAGGCGTGGCACATCCTCGACACCACAGGGGGCGCGCTCGGGGTGGGGTCGCTATCCGTTTCGGGCTCGCAAAGCGTGGCAGGCGTGGCACATCCTCGACACCACAGGGGGGCGCGCTGGGGTGGGGTCGCTATCCGTTTCGGGCTCGCAAAGCGTGGCAGGCGTGGCACATCCTCGACACCACAGGGGGCGCGCTGGGGGTGGGGTCGCTATCCGTTTCGGGCTCGCAAAGCGTGGCAGGCGTGGCACATCCTCGACACCACAGGGGGCGCGCTGGGGTGGGGTCGCTATCCGTTTCGGGCTCGCAAAGCGTGGCAGGCGTGGCACATCCTCGACACCACAGGGGGCGCGCTGGGGGTGGGGTCGCTATCCGTTTCGGGCTCGCAAAGCGTGGCAGGCGTGGCACATCCTCGAATCCACATGGGGCGCGCTGGGGGTGGGGTCGCTATCCGTTTCGGGCTCGCAAAGCGTGGCAGGCGCTGCACATCCTCGACACCACAGGAAGCGCCCGTGCGTGAGCGCGTACCCAAGAACGCAGGATTGCGCATCTATGATAATGAAAAGCAAACGCATAACATTTAAATTAAGTATGTGGGGTTCCTCGGTAGCGTAATTTTAGGTTTCTTCCGAAACCCGCTTGTAGGAGGTCATGCCCGACCTAATGTTTGCTCCCCGGCAGCGAGGGTCGACGGCCTGCAGCCGGGCGCCGAGTTCAGGGCGGCGTGGGCAGATTGGCAGAAGGAGCTCACCAAGCTGAAGGCGTCCCCTGTGCCGTGTGCTCCGCAGCTTGCCTTGCGCAGGCGTCGAAATTCCTTGGCATCGCTCGGACGTGCGCATGTTTCCCTCGGCGAGGATCATTGGGGACAAGTCCGGTTCATTCGCGGAAAACTACACGCACGAAACCGAATAGTGCACGGGGAATGGACGTCCGAGCGATGGCGAGAGTCATGCACAAGCATTTGAGGCTCCTGTCTTTGCTTGCCTGCATGCCCGTCGCAGTCCACCGCGCAGCAGCTCAATAGATGCATCGTGTGCACCAATATGTTATTGGGACCGGGTGGCAACGTACAACACATTCCGAGGGTCTGAGGAACCCGGGCTATACTATAACATATAGTACATCGAATCGTGGAGCATGCATGATGACGTCTATATGGGATGCGTTGGGGACCCCAGACATGCAACCGCCTGAGTGTATCAAGTACGGTGTGCAGTCGATGCGAGCACCCACCTCGCGCGTGCCGTATGCACGTTGCAGTACGACTTGGTCATGCAAAGCACGCACTTCTGTATTACCTGAAAGCCCATGTTATCATTGCCAAGTGGTGCGCACCTGAGGTTTATAGTGCTTGTCTGGAGCGTCCACGGACTTCGTTAGTTTGTTCGTCCCAACGTTGTTGGTTATCTTCTTGTGACTCCACTGGACCTGTGGCACACTGCGTAGTGTCATCGGTATTTGGTCATATTCGCTTCGCCATCAAACCGCTTGCTGATAGTATCTTTCAAATGTAGGATTCCTCATTCGATCTCTCCCATTTCACAATGCCTCTAGCTCATAATTGCCTTGTGGGCCACGTGCTGCTTCGAGTCACGTGGAGGCCCTAGTGGCGCATGACAATGTCTTGCGTGTTGAGGCACGGCGGGAGGAGGAAGTTGCATTGGGCAGGTTCTTGTATATGTAAGCAGGCAAGCATTGGACATGCTGACGAAGCTGCTCTCCGAAAAATAAAGAGCATTATACGCCGCTATCAGGCGAAGCAGATAGAATGGAAGGACCACGCCAAGGTGGAGAACGTTGAGATGTCAAGGGGGTTGTTGTGAAATTGGGCATGCCATGCAAATAGGGTAGAGATGCATTAGATCCACGTTTGACGTTCGCCATCAGGTGCCCCCCCTTTAGAATTTGATGCTACAGAGGATGTTCCAAAGTGTTCGGCCAGGCGACCTGCTCAGCAGCACGCAACAGCGCTACATAATCAAATACCGAAAGAGTTGCTATGACTTGTCCGCGCAGGTTCCGTCCTTCATGGGTTTTGTTTGTGTGGCAGCCGATGGCAGCGCATTGGCCATCCAGTGGGCGTGCAATGCCGATTTGGGCTAAGGAGTGCGCATGGCATTTCGGTTGAAGTCTGCACGAGCTTTGGCGAGGACCCTGCGAAGAGGAAAGCAGCGCTGGCCAAGAAAAAGGAGGAGGCCAAGAAGGCGGCGGATGAGGCCGGGGAGTCTGCAGAGACGGCTGCGGAGGAAGCAGCGCCGCAGGAAATAGATTCGTAGAGCTTTGCTCAATCCGGGCCGTCGCACCGCGAGCAGAGGAGGCTTCTTGGAGTCATGAGGGGCTATAGTTGGACGCACGCGTTCGGCGGCCCGTTGACTGCAGAGTGTGGTTGCAATGGGAGTTTGTCGCAGTTCGGTGCTGGGTGGGGGATGATCGCCACAAGCTCCCCCCATCCCAAACATAGCAGCAACATGATCGGAGGTTGGGGGTGTGACCCGAAGTAACCCCAACCGAGAAATCGGCTTCGGTTTCGGTTTGTGTCGTGCGTGAGGGTGAGGCGAAGCTGCGCGAATTCTTGCACTGGTAGAGGCCATATGGAGCCCAAAGGGCCGCCCCCCCGGGCGGGTGCGTGTCCCGTGGTTGTCCCGCGGTTGTCCCGTGGTTGTCCCGCGGTTGTCCCGTGGTTGTCCCGTGGTTGTAACGTTGTTGTCCCGGCGGTTGTCCCGCGGTTGTCCCGTGGTTGTCCCGATGGTTGTCTTGATGGTTGTCCCGACGGTTGTCCTCATGGTTGTCCCCATGGTTGTCCCGATGGTTGTCCCGATGATTGTCCCGATGGTTGTCCCGATGGTTGTCTCGATGGATAGTGGCTGTCCCGATGGTTGTCCCGATGGTTGTCCCGATGGCTGTCCCGTTGGTTGTCCCGATGATTGTCCCAGTGGTTGTCCCGATGGTTGTCCCGATGGTTGTCCCGATGGTTGTTCCGATGGTTGTCCCGATGTTTGTCCCGATGATAGTCCCGATTTGCCCGCGCACTCTTTGGTGGCGGCATGTGGGAGTCATCGCACATCGACCGCCTCCCCCATTCCCCCACCAACCTCCTTTCACCCGTATGGTGGTCCTATCGGTAGATCTGGTCGAGCGAGTGAACGTAACCCTGAATTGCGATAGATGGTTCTCCCAAGATGCCAATCATGGCTCTCTGCTTTCTGGGTCAAGGGAGGGATCGCTCCTCGTTACCCTCCTGGCACACCCGACCCGCTCTCCTAGCGCCTCGAGCCAATTGGTTGCCCCAAGCAGGCATGCGCGCAATGAACAGAGCTAGGGCCACCAGATCCCTCTGTCGCCATGGCCGTCCATAGGACGAGCAAGCTCCGTCGACTGGTTCTCGGGCGACGCTAAGTCCGTTTGGAGAAAGTCGGGCTGGAGCCAAGGCGTTCCATGTGTTAGGCATTCAAAAGATGTAAAGTAATGTCGCAAGCCACTCCACAACTAGGGCACACACTGTTGGTGAGCTACCCCGCGATCTGAAGCGCAACTCCCGCAACTTGGTAACAGCAGCATCTCCATCTAAATTGTTGGGCTGCCTTGCTAAAGTACATTCGAGAAATAGTCCACCGCACGGCTGCGGTGAGGTGCAACCATAAATCCTCAGCTTCCAAATTCTAGATGGTAAGGCCAGGGCGTCGGTGATGTCAAAGCCCATTCGAGATCCAGACGGGTGCAGATGGTGGCCGACAACAGACCAGAGACAGTACACCATCGACGATTGGGTTCCAGCATTGTGAGTCGATCTCGGTGCTGAGCCAACCCTTGTCGCACTCCTGAGCCAAAGCTCGTTGCACTCCTAGCCGTTTACGTGGTGTTCCCGACGCAGCCAATACGCAGGACCATCATTATAAGATGCCTTCATTCCCAGAACAATAGTGGTACATTAACTTGATGCCCAATATCCTGAACACTTCGCAGACTGCGATCGGAAGCTCTGCAGATCGGCGGGCGAGAGCCCGAGAACCAAGTGTCTCCACGACCCGACGCTAAGCACCCCGGGCTTACAGATCTTACGCGAGCGACCGCATATGCGGGAGAGATAAACCAGCTTGCGAGAGCGCTTGAAGGTCTTCATCTGGCGAAGCTTGACCTGCCACGTGCACCTCCTCCTCCTCCGCCTCCTCCGCCCTGCAGCCGTCATAACTTCATGACCTTGAACATCCCCTTGAAAACAGTCCTTTCCTGCCTCCTCCAACCGATCGTTCAGCTCCTTAGCCACATGCGTACAGGCGGCAACAGCAGCAGGCTCAGACGAGATGTTGCAGCACAGGGGTTTGATGTCTCCACAGAAATTGGCCGCTGCACCGAGGCCGAGGAGGGCCGATAATGTGTTTATGAGTGCCTTGCGAGTGCTGGGCAATGTCGCCGATACGGGAACAAATGGGCACCATGGGTATGCGGGCGTGAGCGCGCTTGAGAACCACGTGCAAGTACACCGTGACCCAGGGAGCCGACTGGGAACAGTCCGCAAGAATCGAAAGACCCGTTGGGATCATACTCGAGACCGTCCCCTCCACCTGCAAAATCCTAGGACACTGTGCATTACGATGCCCACATCGCGTAAGCATGGGAGGAATGAAGAGGAGGAACGGAACGGAACGGCAGGATTGCGATATTTAGGAGGAGGAGGAGAAGGAGAAAGAGGAGCGCATGACGAACAATGTTTTCGATCTAGTAGATTCCGGCTGGTTCCCAGCTGAGGATAGACGGCCCACTCATGTGGCACCAGCGCGAATGTTGCAAAATTACTGTTTTACTTCAAGTTCTACCATCGATTGCGGAAGCAGTTGGCTCAACGAAATGGCACGGCTCAACAATTTACCACTAATCATATCGCAGGATTATGTTGACGATGCTACTTTCATGTGGCATTCAGATGGCAGCACGCGCCGCAAATCCTGCTCAGCAGCGGCATGGGTCATCGAAGTTGTCGACGTTAGGGGTGTTAGTCGGCATAGTTTCCTGGTCGCTTTCCAGGAGGTCTGTTTCGAGAAGTTCGCTGTTCCCATCATTGCAGAGACCGTTGCATTCGACGATTGCATCGCACATCTCACCAATCAGCTTCGCTCATCCAACTCTGCCGAACGCGCTTCGTTGACTTCGCAGGATGAGTTCTAGGTGTGCTATAGTAAGGCTTCGGACAGAGAAGTCGGAGGAGGACGGAGGAGGAGGAGGAGGAGGAGGCGGCGGAGGGGGGGTCGATGGTTGGTGCCACCCAGGACCCTCTCTTTTCGAGGCTGCCCCGCCCCCCCCTAGCTTCCCATTTTCGGAACCCTGGAGGGGTGAACGCCGCGCCAGTTGACGCCTGGGACCCCCTGGGCGCTTTGAGAGGAACCAAGGGGCCATCAGAGGCTTTACTTTAACGCTGCGTGTCGTTTCCCTGTCATTTCCCGATAGCGTGCGCTCGTGGGGGTCCCGTCGGATCATTTGCGAGAAGCCTTGTCCATTGCCCGGCTTGTGCCCATTTTCGCGCGTCTTCAGCACATTCCCAGATTGTGAGGCCCAGGACAGGGGCGGCAGCGGATTTGGATGAGGTCGACCTCGCGTCAGTGGAAGATATCATGGACATTGGCAATGGGCAGCCAATTTTTGCCAAGTTCGAGTTCGAGGATTGGACGATGTTGAGTACTCGTTTCGAGCTCCACCTGCTGCTGTACTCATTCAAAAGAGACCTGAATGACCCAGACAGGCGTGTCATCCCCCTCTCCTTGTCCTCCTCGTGCTCTTCTTCCTCCTCCTCCTCCTCCTCCTCCTCCTCCTCTTCCTCCCCTCCTCCTCGCCCTCCTCCTGGTAGAAGAGTATTGAGCGACCCAGACAGGCCTGGATTCGCCGAGGCGCACCTCGCTTTTTACTACCAGAAATACTATTCCCAAGATTCTCTGCCGCCGACGCCCCCCCGGCTAGGTGCACGGGGACAGCCCAGGATCCCCAGGAGGTGGAGGGTGTGATGCTGTCGTCGCCGTCGGAGGAGGATGCGGAGGAGAAGGCGGGAGGAGACGCGGAGGAGAAGCAGGAGGGAGCTGAGGCGGAAGAGGAGCAGGCTGAGGAGGAGGGAGGAGTGGCGAAGGTGGAGGGGCAGGATGAGACGGGGGAGGAGGGGTAGAATGAGGACAATCATGTAGGAGGAGGATGTAGAAGATGAGATGGCCGAGGTGGAGGAGGACGAAGAGTGAGCGGAGCCAATAGAAAAAGTTCGTGCCCCTGATCGAGAACGAAGAGGAGTAGCAGGTCGAGGCGGGAGAGTGGAGGCAGGAGGAGGAGGAGCGCAAGCAATTAGGAATGTGAGGCAGAAGAGCAGATGGTCGAGTCGGAGGAGAGCAAGAGGTGAGGAGGAGTCCATGCCGATCTGCAAGGGCAGAATGTGTGTGTGTGTAGAAGCGTGCCCTTGATTGTACCTGTCGTCGTTTTTGTCGCTGCGTCTCTCCTGTAGTATCATGTGCGCATCCTCCGCCCTGCGAAGTAAGAGGGGAGTGAGCGTGACTCGCCAAGTTGACAGTTGCAACTAGAAGCCAGTATGATCCCTGGCGGTGGCTGCCGCGAGGCTTTTAGCCCACACAGTGCTGTTGTGGACGTGGAGGAGGCGAGGTGGTGGAGGATTCCGGTTCGGCATCGCGCATTTTTATCTTGCGTCGATTTGCAAACCAGTGGGCTTGCTTGGGGAGGCTTGCGGATAGAAAGACCTTCAGTACGCAACATTACAACTACGACAGCTTTCCCAAGGCATGCGTGCTTGCTGCAGGATGATACCGAGCAAGGGCGTTATTTCTGCGCGTCGTTTGTTCCATGCGCGGTCACTCCATTGTCTGCTGTTTGATAGCAGAGGGAACCGTTGCGGTTGGTTGGCAATACATTGTAGTCTCCATGGGGCGTTACGTGAAGCCAGAGACTGTAGATTAGATTCCCAGGATCTCGAATTCCGAGGTGTCTCATTGTGTGGAATCTGTTCGCGAAGCTGCATCACCGTCAGTAGATGTGTGAGCTCACAACAATGCACTGCCTCAAAATAGTATGGCGTCGCAAGTTTGTGGAGCAGCTGTTGGAGGGCACGCTGACCATTAACGAGAAGACTGGCTTCCTGGAGCCGCTGCTCGCAGAGGACGTGCCCCCAAGCAAAATTCCGCCGGCTCAGCTCGTTCTCGTTGTCGTTCCCGCCTTGTGGATCGCCCCTTGTACCCTCACTCCCTCTGGATATGGATGTCGCGCGAGAGAATCGAAATCATCACGGGAGTTTACGCCCGGTTTCGGGGATCGGGGCCCTCACATGGTTTTTCGAGCTCGAGAACGGCCAGATCTCGAGATCCCGTGGTCGCCGCCACGCCAAGGGGCGTCTTTTCCACGCTCTGCTCGTGCCTGGCTGGCCCTGGTCTCCTCTGGCTGCTCCTGCGCCCCGTGCTTTCAAGCATCGGGCATGGCTTCCCCCCCGCGCCTGGGAAGAGCTTTGACCCGGCGATTGGCTGAAGGAGTCGACCTGGGGTTCAGGGGCAGCCGACTTTGGACGCGTACGGCGGGGATCCAAGGTGGGCCCGCAAGGTGCAGATGTCTGCCCCGGCTTTTCAAGAGAAGGAGGAGGAGAAATAGTGTAAACCCAAGAGTCATCAACGATGTTGGAATCACCCCCCCTCCAAGCTCCCTCTTTATAAGCCCCTGCAACGGTTCATTTCCACAGAGGGAACTGCCTCGTTGGAAGACGACCGTTTGAAGACCCTGAAGCATGCCAAAACATTGCTCGGGATTCCAACGCCACGGATAATCTTGGCTGTTGCGTTTTGACGATCCAGAATCGCACCAGACAGCCATTCCTGGGACTTAAACGCCGCGAATCAACTTAACCGCTGCGCCTTCAAGATCTGAACCCTTCCAAAACACAATTCCTGGTACGCTGATCACGGGAATCCGTGACATTCTCGCAAATCTAAACACGAATGTGCGTGGCGCTAAGGACGGAGCCACACTTTGAAAACGGGTCGCCTTCAATCCGTGGAATTCTTGCTAATTTTGAAACCAAATGCGCGCGTCGCTAAGGCGAGAGCCACATTTTGAAAGCGGGTCGCCCTCAATCGGTTGGACTCTTGTGCGCGGCGCTCAGGCGAGAGCCACATTTTGAAAATGAGTCCCCCTCAATCCGTGGAGCCCTTGCAAGTTCCTAAAACGAATGTGCGCGGCGCTCAGGCGAGAGCCACATTTTGAAAGCGGGTCGCTTTCAATCCGTGGAAGTCTTCCAAATTTTAATACGAGTGTGCGCGGCTCTAAGACGGTAGCTACACTTTTGAAACGGGGTGTCCTCAATTCGTGGAGCTCCTGCATTTTTTAGAAAACAAGCGCGCGCGGCGCTAAGGCGAGAGTCGCAGCTTGAAAACCACCCGCCCTTCATGTGTGGAACTGTTGCCACTGTTCAAACTTCAGGGACATATATGGTGAGGAAGTCTCAGGCGAAACGCCCGGCCCGTCATTTCGACCGGCCTTGGGGTTCGACAGGGACAAATTATGTATGAGGAAAAGGAAAGGAGGAGGAGGAGGAGGAGGAGGAAGAGGAGGAGGAGGAGGAGGAAGAAGACGAGAAGGAGCAGGAGGAGGAGGAGGAGCAGGAGGAACAGCAGGAGGAAAAGAAGGAGGAGGAGGAGGAGGAGAGAGAGGGGTCGGAGGAGGACCATCACTTGGCTAATGGGGAGGCTAAGGGTTGGCCGACCCGACCCTAACCCGAAACCTCGTGGCACTGGGCCACCAGTTGTTCTCCACAGCGGCCATGGGTGCCGCTGAGACGGCAGTGCGCTGCCGACGCTGAAGGCGGTGCTGGGACCTGGCGTGGCCTTGCACACCAGGCCACAGCAGCACCGTACCGCCACCGCCCACTAACGTGTGGGCGGGGCAGTGGGGCAGAGCCACTGTCGGGGCGGACTGGCAACCCAAGTCCCCCCCCGTGCTCAGAGGCCCCCGTGGGGTTGACGCGTGGCTGAAGGAACCCCAGAACTCGGGTTCTAGGGCTGGCTGCGTAACCAGGCACCGTCAGTCCAGGAAAGACGCACTGACCCTAGGAAAGAGATGTGGGCTGAGGCGAAGCTGCAGCCTTGTGCCGAAAAGAGTGTGCAGCGCTCCTTCCCCCTGAGGCGGGGTGCCTGACACGCGTGCAGGACACACACGCACGCACACACGCACAGCACACAGTTGGGCCCAGATGTGGCGTTGCACACCTGGCCACAATCCCGTTCCTCCGCCTGTGGCGGGGAGGTGGGAAGGTAGATCTGGGCAGCAGTCAGGGTGGGCAAGGGGGCCTAAACTCCACCCCCGTGCCCAGCAACGAGGTGACGCCAAAACAGCGCTCTGCAGTGAAAAGGACGGCATGCCTCGACTGGCTGGCGTGCCCCAAAGCTCGGGTACTAGGGCTGGCTGCGGGACACCAGTACAGCCAGACGGAACGAGGAACAAAACCCCAGATCGAACTTGCATCGGGCCAAGGCGGATCTGCGGCCAGTGCCGCAGGAAGACGACATGAGCGCTCCTTCCCCCTGAGTCGGGGTGTCTGACACGCGTGCGGGGGGCGCGCTCGCACACGCGCACAAATGTACAGAGAGAGAGGCGACGCCAGGGCGACTCGGCACTGCCCACCCCTGGTGTAGAGAACGCCAGGACGGCGGGCAAGCCTCATCCCTGGTGTGGGCTTGTCTGCGCCTGGGCTTGATCTGCCTCTCTGGGCAGCTGCTCCAGCTGCGCGGGGGCGGCGCGCGCAGCTTCGATGGCTCTTCGATAAAATTGCTCGAGTGGCGCCGGAGGCGAATAAACAGGAGCGGATTCCCTTCCACTCTTCGGGTGCCTTAGCTCCAGAGCGCGGGCTAACTGGCTTCTCGCGTTGCTCGACGTCGGTTCCCGCGGGCACCCTTGGAACAAACGACCGCGGGTGCCCGTTTCCGAGTAGGGCCCGCAGGAAGGACGAATAATCATCGTGCTCGAGTTGAGCACGTGCTCGAAACTCAAGAGCAAGCGGCCTCTGGGGCTTTGTGCAAGCGAGGAGGGGCCCGCGCAATACCCTGGGCAGTTTTCGTCGAGGCGCTTGAGATGCTGGTCCTGGGACATGGCCCTGGCGCGGCAGAGGGCGCAAATGAACGCGCCGCGAACTGATTCCCATCGGTGGAGCTCGCCTTCAGGCCCTGGGGGGCTCGGGGGGCGGAGGCGAGGAGGCCTCGGGGGCGGGGGGGGGGGGCAGGGTCCCATGCACTGTGTGCCGAGGCTGCTCTCCGATGGGCGGGTTCTTACTTATTGGGCGGCTCAGGGACTTCCCCCCCGCTTTCGCGGCCAGCGCTGGCCACTCAGGGAGGTCCCGAGCAACGTGGAACAGGAAACGTCGCAGCAGGCTTTGGTCGAAACTTCTCTGCTCCAGTTCCGACTGGGATGGCTGACAAAGATTTGCTGCAACTCGCCTGGCTGCTTTATCCGCTGCATCGTTTCCCAACGCATGGTCATTATCATCATTGCCGTTAAACTCCCGGACTAGATTCTGGTGGGCTTCCATCCTCACAAGACAAGACGCGACAGCTCTGCCCGCCAGAACTTTCAACCCTGCGTGCTGATTCTTCCTGGGGTATCCAGGAGACTGAAAAAAAATCTATCGCACCTCTGTAGTCCGTGTGTACTTGGGTAACCAGGGGCGAAATGGAGCAAGCAGCCACGATTGCAAGCATCTCCGCCGCACCCGAGCTCTGGGCGCACAGGTCGCCGACCTGGCCTGACAAAATCGCGAAAGGAGCCTCGGCTCTCATGCTAGCTACCGCCCATCCAGCCGACTGGAAAGCTGGGTGGATCCAATTGTCGCAGTTGCCATCCACGTAGACTGGCCCCGAGAGAGCCCCCCTTTAGGCTACGTCTGGATCGTCGCACCAGAATCGGCAATTCGTCAGACCTGTTCCGCTCGGGGGGCACACGTTGAAGCCAAGCCTGATCTGGAAACCGAATTTAAGCGGCGGGCCTTGTCCTTGGAGGATGAGATCCTGCTCGCCTGGCGATAGTGCTGTATCCCGCTCCTCCTGCGAGATGGGGCACTGTAATAAACGATGATGCAGTGGGCCCCCGGGGGCCCCGCATTCGCACTGGGTGTCGATTTCGTGCCCCGCATCTTTGGCCCTGGGCTTTGTCCAGATGCCGTGCGCACGGAAGGTTAGAAGACTGCCCCGCTCTTGCTCGGTGAAAGTGGGGCTGGCGAGGACTCTCGTGGCAACTTGGGCATCCACCTGGGAGCCTGCGTGTCCTAGCTTGCTGGCAGCCCGCCCTCTAAGCTGCCGCTGCCAGGCCTGCTGCGTTTTCTGATGCACAAAGGCGGGCGAGAAACACGTTAGAGGATAATGCTGCCCCCCCGAGGCTTGGAAAGCAAAAGGGGGGGCCTCGGCCCAGCCCGCGCGAAGCAAGAGTAGCATTGAAGCGGCGAAGGGGCCCCGAACACTGCCCCAGCGCGAGGGGGCCTGGCCCATCAGGGCCTCTCCCTTCGCACGGAGGGAAGGTAGGAGCGCGAGACCTTGGGCTGGACTGGCGGTGGCCGTCCACACTATTAAATGCCAAACTAGAGCGGGGCCTAGGGCCAGTGGCCACGCGGGGTCACCAGAAGGAGGCTCAGGCATCTCCTTCTCGCGACACATTCGGGACCTGCTATGTTTAAGTACTGCTGCTGGGCGATGGCCAGCTTGCTGTTGTTGAGGCCTGTGACCTCGTGGCCGAATGAGGCTGCCGCAAAAATGCCCGTGTTGTAGATCTCACGCGTGCCCCGATCCAGCTCTCCTGATGGCTCCAAGTCTCCTCGTCCTCTTGTTGGTTTTGCCCAGTCTGGCTTTGGCTACTCTATCCTTCCTCCACCTGCGCTGGGGGGCCCCTGCTGCGGTCTCGCAGCCGAGGTTGGGGCCCGAAATGTCCGTTGCTCTGCCGGCTCGGGCTTGCAGTCTGCGCTGCACTTGGCGGCTCACTTGGTCCGAAGATGCGAAGAACTGAGTCTTGGCGGGAGCGATCTTGCTGCCAAGGGTGCTATCTAGCAAGATCTGGGTGCCGCGGTTCAGGCGGCTGGCGATGCGGCAGATCATGTCATCATGAGTCTTTAAGAGGGTACCGTCTATGAACATGTAG